CAAATTAGTCCATAAACTTTTAAACATTTCAATTTATCCTTAAACTATGAATATTATTTTAAATTAGTCCTTAAGCTTTTGAAAATTTCATTTTCATCCCCAAGTTATGAACTTCATCCTAAATTGGTCCCAAACTCTTTTAATATTTCAATTTTATCCTAAATTATTCGTATACTAATCACATCTCTTATTAATAAATCATTAGGCAAGTTATATTATTATATGTTGAAAAAATATTTAGGTTAAACTATGGTTGAAATGGATTACGTATTTGGATGAATTTTGAGATAAAATTGGAAGATCTAAAAGTTTACAAACCAATTTAGAATGAGATTCATATTTTATGGATGAAATTCGAATGTTCAAAAGTTTAAGGACGAATTTAGAATGAGAGTCATAATTTAAGGATGAAATTGAAATATTTAAAAGTTTAAGGACTAATTTAAAATGAGAGTAATAGTTTAGAGACATATGATGCAATTCATTATTAATTTAATATTTTACTTTGGAACTACTAAAATAACTTTTCAAAACTATTAAAATAATTTACAAATTGGTTTAATTCTTTTGTATATAAAAAATATAGTTATTTAAATTTAATATAAAAATAACTTAGTTTTATACTATACAAATAACTTATTTTTACAATATAAAGATATCTATTTTTATTTATAATTTAAAATTAAAATATTATCGATGATATAATAATATAATATCATTTATAAATATATTTAGAATAATATTTATTCAAACATAAATAGTATATTATTACTGCTTTAAGGTTAATAAAATTATTATATATATATTTAAATGTTAAATATCTAATTCAAAATTTAATAGATAATAAAACTTATAATTAAATTTTTTGTTTTTTAATCAAATAGATCGTACTATAAATTTTTCAGTCCGGATCAATAAAAAATATCACAAACTCTAACATATCTTATAGATCGAGTTTGAATTCAAGTATAATCCATAAATGATAATTGAATTTGAATGAAATTGAACACAAATGATAATATTTAAAAAAAAAGACACATTTTTTACAAAAATATATCAATAATTCTATATATACTTGATTTGACTTATACCCAACTCAACTTCAATTACCTTGAAGATCTAAAGTTGACCCAAACCGAAAATAATTTATTGGATATTGATCCGGCCCGAAATCAACTAATCTGATATTGACCCTACTCAATACCCAAATCGACCCGACTTACTATAGACCTGAATAAAATCGAAACCCGAAATGACCCAACCCGATTCGAACCCGGCCCGAATTACTATAGACTCGAATAAAATTGAAACCCGAAATGATCCGACCCGAGTTAAGTCTAAACCGAAATGATCCAAACCGAAATTAACCTAACCAACTCGATCTAAATGACCCGTTTGCAACTTCTAGTTTGGACTGGTCTAACCTTTTGGGGAATATGTATATTTTACCTATTATGAATTAAAATTTTCTTTAAATGCGACATATCTTTTTTAATATTCTAAATTAAAAGGATATATTATTATTTCTTTAAATTCAAATACTAATATGGTATGTCTTGCAGTTCATGAATATATATTCGATTAGATATGATATTAATGGATTACTTCCGGATTTATTCGAATACTCATAATTTTCAGAATATATTATTTTCAATTATTCTCCTACGTGGAACCTTATAAATAAAGTGTAAACCTACTAGGTCAAATAAAACTAAAAAATCTTTTTTCTTCTCCTCTAGTTTTTCAATTACTGTACTCTAATTATCTCATTGTTGTATATTGGGAGACAAATGACCAAAGATCTCGAGCATCAAGGAGTGTTTGAAAATCTATCTTAATGAAACTGTGTAACTACATACCTCAACTTGTTTTCAATTTATTAATTTGTCGGAAATCGAGTTTTTAATTCTAAATTATTCTTTTTAATTATTAGTAAAATATTTATTTTTCTTTTCATCTCGGATAGTTATATTTCTAACAATACAAGCATTTATCCCACTTGGTCTGCAAATCTTTCCAACTTGCATTTTTTTGGACTCACTCTAAAAAGCAAAATCTAACTAATTTTATATTATAATCTCAACAGGATATAAAGAAAACAATGTCCTTCGTATACACATTGACCCCGAAATCAAAAGGCCATCCACTATTGTTCTCATGCACATTGTGCAGGCTATTGGCACCACTTCCATTATGGCTTCGGCCAGAGCTTGAGTTAGAGTTGGATGAATTGAAGGGCGAAATAGGACACTGCAAATCAGAATGTAGATGCCTGAGTTATTTTATGATCAGTTATATACCAAATAAAATTAAGATTTACTACTTTAAATAACACTAATCATTCTGGTATTTTCAATCAATTAGTCCTAAAGAAAATCATAAAGAAAAAGTAAGAGATTGTTAGAATTAGCTAGTTAGAAGCATCTCAAAAGAGATGAAGTTTTAATTCAAAGAGGAAATATTGAATTATATTTTAAACAAACTGACACAAAATAAAGATAGGAGATTTTCTTTAATAATCTGGGATGATTACACGTAATAGTATCGGTTATAAAGACTCTCAATTATTTGACAATGAATATTGAAATACCCTACAATCACCGATGCTTGAACCCGACACCTTAAGAGAGATCATTTATTGATGATAAGATAATTTAATATTATATTATCATGATATAATATTATTTTATTTTTAAATATCAGAGTTTGTGAATACATTTTTAATAAGCTATTATCAGAGGTTATTAATTGTGGGAGAAGAAATAAATAATTACAATCTGAACACATTTGGTTTTATTTTTTATTTTTTTAAAAGAAATATTAATTTTATGTTTGAACGACATCAATTACTCAAATTATGATTTAGAATTCTTGAAATCTTAAAATATTTTATATTTATATATTTAAATTATCTTTGAATAAAATAGAAATAATTATTAAATAATAAAATCTAACTTGTATATACACCACTTATTAAACTTTGAAGAGTTACTACATAAAGGATAGATGGTGTAACTTTTTGAAAGGTTATGAATAGTAAATCGTATTTTAAAATGTTATGGATGAGCATGTAATTTGAGTAATAAGTGAAGCACCGTGGATGAATTTAACCTCAATCATTTGGAACCAAAATAAATAAAGAAGAAAATTATTTCATGGTTCCGACTCACTACGTCATTTATGGTGTAGTAAATGAGAGTTACAAATTTTAAAATAACTTATAAATAAATGTCCACTCTTTATTTACACGTAGGACTGAGATGAAGATTCACCTTGAAAAAATGAGATGAAAAATTATTATTGATTAAACCGCAGATAACGTGGTGAGCCAGAACCATCTAATAATTTTTCAATAAACCGAGAGATCACATTTTCCCCCTTTTCGTCTCCTTATTAGGAATGACAGGACGACCCGAACCCGACGGGAAAACCCGGGTAAGTTCAGGTTGGATTGGGTTTGAAGAATATCGAGTCGGGTATCAGGGTAAAATTCGGAGATTTTTTTGGGTTCAGGTTCGGGCCAAGGTATCCCCGCCCCGCCCCGATGATATATATATATATAGTATTTTATATTTTAATATTTTATATATTAATTATATATAATACAAACAAAACATTTAACCTGAGATTTTAATTTTATATTCAAAAAACTCTTATCCGACATTGCTTCAATAGCTAGTGAGAATGATGACTCTGGTGATATGGCCGAATTGGACAACTACTTGAAACATAATCTTTTGCCTAAAGACGTGGATCTTGATTTGTTGGCTTGGTGGAAGACGAATGGAGGTAAGTATCCGACACTTCAAAGGATAACAAAAGATATTTTAGCAATTCTTGATTCCACTGTTGCCTCAGAATCCGCATTCAGCACTAGTGAAAGATTAATAAATTCACATCAAAATCGATTTCATCCAAAAATTTTGGAGGCTTTAATGTGTGCGTAAAGTTGGTTGTTGAATGAGATTTGAGGAAGTCAGTAACACTATATTCTATATTAACTTATATGTCATTTCCTTTTTGAATAATATTTGTGTTAAAGGATAATTTATGTTATTTGTTTATAGAAACTTGTTCAGAAGAGACTAATGCATATTGTCGCTCTGTTGAATATGATTATGACGTGGATGAGGTAAATAATGTTTATAAAAACATTACTATTTTGGTAACATGCTTTTATAATTATTAAAGTAAAATTTGGTTGATTTATTGATAAATTTCTCAATGTAGAGAGCAACCAAAGAAAGTGACAAAAGTGGCACGACGATTTTGAATGACTTTATTTGACTTAATATTACGTATGCCTTCGTTATGATTTCATATCGGAACAAGTTTGTATTTATTATATGTGTTTTATTTTGGAGTTTAGACAATTATTTAGAATTGAGTTTGAATTTGTGACTGTAGTTTGAATTGTAAATCATGTAGACTAATTTTCCAGTTTTTTGTTATCGTTTTTTTCTATTTTTTATGAAAACTACGACTACTCGATTTTTCTCGGGATCGGGTCAGGTTCGGGGACGGGACAAAAAAAACCCCGCCGGAGCACCCCGATAAAATATCCAATGGGGAATGGGGCGGGAACGGGGATGAGGGAGCAAAACCCGCCCGTTGCCATTCCAACTCCTTATTCCCATGCCTATGATAGTCAAATCGATCAAATTTGTTTCAGTTCCAAAATAAATAAATAAAAATTAAAATGAAAATATCAATTTTTAATTGACAAAGTTAGCCTACCAGCTTACCAAAATAGCCGCACGAAAACTGGAAATACAGTGGAGAACATGGCAGGAGACTAACATTCCTTAATTCTTAGATCTAAAACCACTTTTTTTTTTCTCTCATTAGAAATTCAATCAAATTCTTACCCTTTGGATCTGTCATCGTTTAACATGAAACTGCATGTCCTTTATAGTTTAAGAACATCAACGTGGCATTGAACTGTTGATCGTAAATCTCCTTCCCCGCTGTGCAACGCAATGATTTAAAGAAGGAAAAAAAAAGCAATGGAAGACAAAAAATGTGATATAATTCCTTTGATCAACCCATCACCATTGTCATCAACACAAGGAACTGCTTCCAAACTTCAAACCATAGGGAACATCATAGTTTCAATAGTTGGAACCGGCGTTTTAAGCCTTCCTTATGCTTTTCGAGTCACCGGTTGGCTCGCCGGATCACTCGGCGCCATCATCGTCGGCTCGGCTACTTTCTACTGCATGCTCCTCCTTGTTAGTATAAATTCTTTCTTTCTTTATATTTTCTTTTTGTTATTGAAGACTTGCCTTTAACATTGGTACACAGATTGAGTGCAGGCACAAATTAGCATCAGAAGAAGAATTGAAGGGAAGAACAACGTATGGTGATTTGGGATTCAGGTGCATAGGAAAACCGGGGCGTTACATGACAGAATTTCTCATATGCATCTCCCAATGTGGAGGCTCTGTAGCATACTTGGTATTCATTGGCCAAAACCTTGCATCAGTGTTCAAACTCCATGGCCTCACCTTTCCATCATACATATTCTTGTTAGTCCCTATTGAAATGGCATTGTCGTGGATCGGATCCCTCTCAGCTTTCGCACCCTTCAGCATTTTTGCCGACTTATGCAACCTTTTGGCGATGGGATTCGTTGTTAAAGAAGATGTACAACAGGCAATTGTGGGGAAATTTTCATTTAGAGATAGGGAAGCCTTCAACTTGGGAGGGTTTCCATTCGCAGCCGGGACGGCGGTGTACTGTTTCGAAGGGTTCGGAATGACACTGGCTCTTGAGCAATCCATGAGGGAGAGGAAAACATTTCCTAAGGTGCTAGCCATTTCGTTTGCATGGATCATAGTTGTATATATTTTGTTTGGGACTTTTGGGTACATTGCTTATGGTGATGACACAAAGGATGTCATAACACTAAATCTTCCCAATGATTGGACAGCCATTGCAGTCCAGGTAAATTTTAGATATCTTTAAGCATACATTTAGTTTTCAAGCATGAACTTTGAGCTTATATTCAGTTACTTTATTATAATGAAAACTAAAAGGCCTCAATTCAAGTTAATACACATAATAAACTGCTCTGGTTACCTATCTACTTTACCATTTTCCACATTGCTTTTAGTTACTCCTAGTATCGGAACTTGTATTACGGTTGTCGTTTTGCTCCTCTATTGTATAAAATTTGATGTAAAGATCTAATCGATTATATAGATAGACATGGCCTGATTAAGCAGAAAGCAGAGAATTGAAAAAAGAACAAAGGGGAAAACATGTGCAGATATAGATCTTTAGTACCTTAAGGACTTATCACCATTCCTATTTACTTCTAAACAAAGATCTTAAGCATAACATATCACATAGATTATAATATTCTTAAGACTTTAACATACCATGGATTAGCACTTAACCTTCCATAGTTCCGTGTAATTGTTCGAGCTAAGACGAGGAAGTTGCACCAACAATATCGAGATCAGTTCAGGCCGCTTCTAGGAATACGAAGCTTCGTGTGCTTTAAACTAAACTAAGTTCTGTTTAATTTACATAAACTTGCAGAGCCTCTCTAGTCCTACAATGTGGCGCTGAAATTGTATAGTTAACAGAATGACATACTGAATTGGTGGTCTGATGCAAACAGATTGGTATGTGCCTGGGGTTAGTGTTTACATTCCCCATGATGGTTCACCCTGTTTGTGAAATCATGGAAGGGACGTTGAAGAAAAGATTTTGGTTTCAGAAGTTTCACAACAACGATTCCGAAAGTTCGATTACGAGATTAGGAAAGTTCGGAGTATGCATCGGTAGAGCAGTTCTGGTAATCGGTTTGGCGGTGTTGGCATCGTTCGTCCCCGGATTTGGCGTTTTAGTCTCGCTTGTTGGGAGTACAGTATGTGCATTGATCTCTTTTGTTTTGCCAGCCTCCTTTCACCTAACATTGTTGGGGTCATCTTTGAGTTTCTGGCAAAAAAGCTTGGATGTTTTCATTGTGTTGTGTGGATTGCTTTTTGCAGTTTATGGTACCTATACCACCATAGGTGGAGTCTGATACTGGAAAACAAAGAAATAAACAAATTTCGGTTTCGGAATATTTTGTATCGAAAATTCAGTTCGTCAAGTATATCAGCACATAGTATTTCATCTACTTCCTCTTTGCCCAATGGAATTGATTCCACCATTTTCATACTTCCATTTTGCTTTCGAATGTAAAATCCATGAACAATGATTTAGTTGTTCCTTTTCTGCTGTAAACATTTAGTAAATTTTACAAGTAGCATGCCAAAAATTCTCCTAAAACATTAAAATTCCCATCCAAATGATTTCAAAGTTAATTTTCTTTTTATTCTTTGTGTTGTCGTTAGTTTTTTTTCTTCTTCATCTTTATGATCGATGGCGGTATTAATCTTATTGTTGGTCGTTGATTGTCATATTCATTATTTTTCTTTCATTTTATTATATAGTATTTTTATTTTTTAATTTCTTTTAAAAAATTAATAGTTCTGCCTTGATCACACGTTATTATTATTTTATAATTTTTTAGAATTATACTTAAAAATATTGAAAAATATACTAAATTAAAAATTTAATTATAATTGATGGGTCAAATAAGATATTAGATTTTTCTTTTAGATTTTCAAAGTTAATTTTCTTTTTATTCTTTGTGTTGTCGTTTTTTAAAAATCTAGTGTCACATAAAAATAATTTATCAAAATTTAATGATCATTTTTTTAAATTTTACCATGTCTTATATTAATAATGCATATCATTATATGTCGTTAGTAGTGGATTTTGATGTGTAGTGCTCATTGTAGACTAGTAAAAAATTCTAGAATGCATGTCACACGTTGAAAGTGTAACTAATTTTATAGGATAAAATTTTTAAATGGTCATTAAACTATGTTAAAATAATCCTTTTGAATATGTAACTTTTAAAAATTACATAATAGACACTATATTTTAAATATTTTTACAAAACTGATACCATATTTTTAATTATCATTAAAGGGGTAACGTGACATGTTAAATTAATAAAAAAATATCATTCGATCTCTCAATTTCAACTAAAATTTTATTTTGATTTTTTTTCAATATTTCTAAATAATAATTCTAAAAACTCAATTATATATATATATAGTAATTCATAGTTCATTTTTAAAATTATAATTTTTTTAATTTATAATTAATTTTTTTATTTCATTGTGATTATATTTGTAAAATTTATAATTTATAATTTTCTAGATTCAACAATTTTAATTATCAATAAATTAAATCAAATTTTTATTAAACAATGTGATTCAATTATTTAACTTTTGATTAATAATATTAAATATAATTTTAAAAATATATTTATAATTTTAAAAATAATTTTTGAAAATCCATATATTTAAAAATTGAGTTTTAAAAAAATTTGGAATTATTACTTAAAAACATTGAAAAATGAATAATAAAATTGTAGTTACAATTGAGGGAGCAAATGAAATATTTTTTTTAATTTAGTATGCTACATTACCCCTTTAACAATAGTTATAAATTTATTGTGGTGTATATCAATATGCGACCTTTGCTATGGACTCATCTAGACTCATTATGTCAATTATTATTCTTTAGAATATTGGTTTATGTATTTACTCACCAATTGACTTATTAGTCATATTTAACTCAGAAAAATATAATAAAAAATGAGTGAATATTATTATAATTCTAAAAATTATAAATAAAACATTAATAGTTTACTATAATTCAATGTCAAATTATATTCTACTTAATTAAAATTTAATAAAATAGTATATAAGTAAAGTTAAAAGCCAATTTAATGGGGTTAATGGTCTATAAGCCTAAATCAAGAATGGCGTTGAAATTATAATTTAGACTTTGATAGTGTATCTGCTTTTTAAACACAAACAAAACCTATTGTGCAAGAAACTAAGAAAATCTTACGAGATGAAAGGCAAGAGTATTCTTTAGGGACAAATTGTTGGATATTTGGAAGAAGCATCAAAGAGTGATCTTCATACTGCAACCGTCAAATACAGATTTGCAGACACTATTTTCAGAACTCGACAAAAGATTAGGGAACTCCATGATAATGACGACAAATATGGTGCTGATTCTATAAAGATTAAGCAAGAGAAGGAAACATTCCAACGAAATCTGGTTGACAAAAAGACGAGAATCAAAACTAAGTTGATGAAGAAAAATATACAACGACGAGAAAGACAAAAAAGCAGCTCGGATTGCTTTGGAAAAGATGGAAAACACGGTTGGTATCGAGATTAATTTAGATGTTCAAAAAGACTTTGAGGCACTCATCAGATGTTCTTCATCATCCCCGTTGTAATCCATTCATTCGTCTTGTGGAAACTGAGGCGGCAACTGTTGCCAACAATACTAAAGGAGATACACATATTCAATCACCATGCAAAAAAAGACACAAGTTAAGGTTGCATCTTTCGCCGCCCTAAGCCACTAACAGCACCACCACAATTGAGGTTCTAGTCTGTCCTTTCATTTTTATGTTTCATGTTTTGTTTATTTGCATGTATACATTGCATTTCATGTTGTTTGTTGTTTGTTTGTTTGTTTGTTTTTTTACCTTTTCTTGTTGTCTTGTGTTTAAGTTGCATTGCATAACATTTCTCCATGAAAATTAGGACTAAACAATTGCCAAGTCTCTATACTTACCTGTGATGAGTTAGCTACCGACGACAATTCATGCCGAGAACCCTAGGACTTAGAGACAATTTGTGATTGCCTCAATGATACTTGTGATGCTTTTATTACTAATCGAATGTTGTGCCTAGTTAACTTACGGGTATTTTAGAGAATGTCATCAAATAAATTGCTAGATGTGTCAATCTGGTTCTAGCTTAACAGTGAATAAATTGCTAGATGTGTTTGTCTGGCTCTAGCCAAATAAATAAATTGTCCACAACAATCTTTTATATCTAGGACACTTCGCTGCCAAGACAAGTCCGGTACGCTTAGTGAAAGCTGAGTAGGAAAGATAATCTAAATTAGCATGAGTGAATGAAAGTCTTCACGGGATGACTACTAAATATGCTATGGAGTTCGTTGGTTGCACCATCTTATTACTCAAGCCTAGATAGGTAGTTGTGATGACCTGAAGCCTTAGTTAAGCTAAATTGTTAATTGTCGTGGAAATTATTGCTTTAATAATTGTATTTGATAATTAAGATATTTTCTATGATACCCAAACTGTTAAACTAACATCACTAAGAGCACACACATGCACGAGCATCACAAATGATTTGAGTTGATATTTTTTTGTTTGGAGGTTTGAAGGTGATTGGCAAGAATTGTCAAGGTTATGAGGTGACAAATACAGGGCAAGTGTAAGTGTTTTGTCATCTAATTGCCGAAGACAAGTTTTGTCATGCATTGCTTGAGGACAAACAAAAATTCAAGTTGGGGATGTGATAACTCTGTAAAAGGGTAGTATTTATGGTCTTTAGGTGAATTTTAGTTTAGACTTGAGCACGTTTTATTTGCTTATTTATTGTTTTAATTTGTACTTCATGCATATAATTTAATTTTAGTTGCATTTGTTCTATTTTGTAGTGGTAGTTGTTCTTCTGGTGCGTTTTCTTTTGTGCAGGTGGAGGAACGAGATAAAGTGAGGAGTTACTACAGTAGACAAAAGGATGAGGAGTCGCCGAGGGCATGTAAAGACGGACGTTGGCGGTGTATAATTTCGAAGTGTTCTCAATGACAGTGGCTCTTGAACAATCCATGATGAGAGCATCTTTCAATGCTTGTTTCAGATCTCGAGGAGAATTTCTGGTTTTGTAAGCTGGAAATCTGATGTTATTAAAACTATGGCCTTGCTTGCCAGGATGAATACACTTTTTCCTCCATTTAGGTCTAGGGAAGTTTTTAACGAGGCATTCATCCTTAGCGGATTATCAATAAAATTTATTTTTTGCCGAGCAAAACAACAAAAAACAATACATTAGGGAGAGGGAAACATTTCCTAAGGTGCTAGCCATTTCGTTTGTATGGATCATAGTTGTATATATATTTTGTTTGGGACTTTCGGGTACATTTCTTATGGTGATGACACTAAGGATATCATAACACTAAATCTTCCCAATGATTGGACAGCCATTGCAGTCCAGGTAAAATTGCAGATACCTTTAAGCATACATTTAGTTTTCAAGCATGAGCTTAGTCCTCAATTCAAGTTGATACACATAATGAACTGCTCTGGTTATCTATCTACTTTGCCATTTTCCACATTGCTTTTAGTTACTTCTAGTATCGGAACTTGTACTACGATTGTCGTTTTGCTCGTCTATAGGATAAAATTTGATATAAATTCTAATGGATAATCTCAATAGACATGGCGTGATTAAGCAGAAAGCAGAGAATTGAAAAAAGAATAAGGGAAAACATATGCAGGTATAGATCTTTAGTTCCTTGAGGACATATCACCATTAGCATGCATATTTACTACTAAACAAAGATCTTAAGCATAGCATATCACATAGTTTATAATCTTATTTAGACTTTAGCATATCGTGGATTAGTACTTAACCTTCCATAGTTCTGTGTAATTGTTCGAGCTAAGCAGGCCAGTTTATGATATTTTTGTGGCACCGGGTGAATATAAAATTAGGCCTCCAATATTAAATATCGATAATAATTAAATTGTAAGAGCAAGAAAAATAAATATTTGCTTATAAATTATTTTTTTATTACGTTTAATAAACTATCTAATAAATACAGAGTTATCTCATACATTTTCGAAGCTTTGAGTGAAACTAAAATACAGACTCTTATAAAAACAATTGTATATTCTAATGTTTTGAATAAATAATTAAATAATACATTAATAAATCGTATAAAAATGATTAAATTGGGGGCTTAAACTATAAAAGTAAAAAGTATGCTTGAAAAACTAGGGACCTCAATTATAAAAGTAAAATGTGAGATTAAAATAATTAGGGGCCTCAATTTTAAAGGTAAAAAGTGAGATTGAAAAAAATCATGAGCTCAATTATAAAAGTACAAAGTGGGATTGAAAACTTAGGATCATCAGTTATAAATGTAAAAAAAATTGGATTGAAACAAAAATTAAGGACCACAA